TGGGGGGGGGGGGAGACTTGGGGACCTCCTCCTAATAGTCGACGGAAAAAATGGGCGGTTTGATGAAGGTTCGTTTAAAACCGCAAGACATTTTATTTATTAGAAAAATAGGAAGACGGAAAGGGAGAGGAGGCGAAATGAGGAAGAGTGAGTGAAAAGAAGACAATGGGAGGGGCCAAGAATGGGGTGCAGAGTGCGGATTCAAGAAAAAGAGAAGAGCATAAAAAGTCAACAGAGAAGCAGCACTAAAAGAGCAAATGGGCCAAGAGAGAATGGGTGACGACGGTGCTAAGGGAAGAGTCTAATGAAGCGGATAGCAAAAAAAGGCAATGAATCTTCTCGCACGATCTACCTTCTCAGGATTTCGGTGAGCCGATTTGAAAAATGTGAAAAGTGGGAAATTGGCGAGAATGGGCTAGGAGGAAGACGAAGATGAAGTAGAAAACGTATAGAGGAAAAAAAGTGAGAGAGTTCAAATTTTCAATTTTTCCAGAGAGGACAACCTATAATTTATTGCGGGTTTTGGTGATGTTGAGACATTTCAACTTATATCCGGTACGATGTCTTAAGTGGAAGATCTCGTCAAGGACCACTGGAATTTTCTAAAGAAGCAAAAATTCAAAATTTTGGAACGTCTGATAAAGTGTTTTAGCGTTCAAAATCAACGCAGGAAGCCAAAAAGGTTGCTTCCTATCTTTTAGTGTCTTGGAATACTGTAAAACCTGTAATAAAAGAGCCCCATATTGTTAAGTTTGAGCTCAATTATCTCGGTTCCTATAGAAGATATCAAAAATTTCTCAACTGATAAAATATTGGTGATAAAACGATAAACAGTTTCCCTGTTGACAAATTTTTGATATTTTTTGAAGGATTCGAGATAATTGAACTCAATGTACACACATAGTTTCGGCATCTAGGCATTACCTACCGTATTTGGTATTGAAACAGAAGTTCGTGACCTAACTTGATATATCTAGCTTTCAGTGATATCGGTCAAAAAAATTAGCAATTTTCGGTCCGCACTTTCGCGTGATGGTGTTTGCACAAAATGCAATTTTTTTCCACCATACCGTACTTGCTCCAGTGGAAGCCGCGCACTTTGAGCTCAATTATCTCGATTCATATGAAAGATATCGAAAAACTGTCAACTGATGAAATATTGGTGATATTATGATGAATAACTTATCAGTTGACAAATTTTGATACCTTCTGAAGGAAACGAAATAACTGAGCTCAAAAAGCACGTATACAGTGGGCACGACAAATGTGTCGATTAAGTGGGTCCGCCCCCAAATAAGGATCAAATGCAAAAGAAGTTTGGCATCCTTAGAATATGTCTTACACAGAAATTACGAAATTAATCGCAGAAGTCGACACAATGCCGGCTACGAGATTCTCAGGTGCCATTTTGTCAATATCACCCAAGCGTTCAGACCAAAACTCAAAGGTATTATAATCTTAAACGCCTAGAAAATCAGAATGAGCTCCACATTTAATATTCTAGGACATCGTGGCCTTTGCCAAACCAAAAAATCAAATCCTCAAGAAAACTACAAGATCAGAGAGTCAACATGTTCTTCAAAAAGCCCATAGGAAGAAAAAAATGAGCCGAATGACACAAATTCTGAATCTCACGAACTTTGTGTTATAACCGTCTCGAAAAAAAGCAGATTCGTGGGAAATGTCGTGGGAATTCGAAAAGGGTATTTTTTCAAAAAATGAGCAACCCTCAAAAATCTCAAAATTAGAGAGCAAGAATAGAAGAAAAAAGAGTTGCTTCTTTGCTAACTCAATTATCAACTTTTTCTCTCTTTTTGTCTCTTTTTTTGGATAATTAGGCAAAAGTGTGGAAAGGGGCGATTTGTAATTTCTTATTCACCCAGAAAACAGAAAAAAGGACAAAGAATCATGTGGGCATCCGGGGTGAAAAAAGCCTTGATAAACAAAAACGATAAGGTTTTGGGGAGGCTTGATTATCACCAAAAATAAAAATTCTTTTAACTCATAGAACAATTCAATAGGCGGCCGTTTTCAAAGATTAGGATAAAAAGAAGCCAGATATTGTTTCTCTTCAAAGTCAGAATGGCATGTATGGATTCCGGGAAAAAAGATAAATCCCTGATACGTATTATATCGGAAATCCGTTAGGCTTATCATTTTGGTGAATACTGCTGATGTGGATATCCGGCTAAACTTTCCATAGATGGTAGCCTACACGTACTTCCGGAGTTATAGCCTTGTATGCTGCCATCTACGGTAGCAGGTCATTCATCTTCTGTCATCTGCACTACGGTAGAAAGTCATTAATCTAGTGGAAGACAGTTTTAATCAAAAATTCTAAAAGGACCCCATCTTCTTTTTGCGAAAAAGAAAAGAAAATCTCATTTCAACCAACCCGACGTACCCTCCTAAAAAAGAAAAATGAGCTCTTCCTGACCGCCAAGATTTATTGTGTGCTGCTCATTTAATCCAAGAAGCATAATCTAGTTATATAAACTGCGGATGCATGTATACAAGAGCTTAATAAAATTTTTGTTGCTAAAAAAATTTCAGGCTTCTTTTGCTTCAATTCGTTCAAAAAAGTTTATTAAAACCTGTAATAGAAGGGCCCCCTAACTTTCTACTTTGAGTCGATTTCCCATGGTTACTGTAAGAAATATAAAATATGTGTCAACTGATAAAATGTCTGTAACATTATTATAAATAATTTATCAGTTGACAAATTTTTGATATCTTTCATAGAAATCAAGATAAATTGGCTCAAAATTGAAAGTTAGGAGACCCTTCTTTTAAAGGTGGGGGGACATGAAAAAAATAATGTTCTCGAAATTCCGTTCAAAGATGCCCCTCGAAGAGTTGAACTTGTGAGGGCGATGATTGAGGGTGCGGCGCCGCTACCGACTGAGCCACGCGGGCAAAGAGAAAGCGCACGCCCATGTTGCAAACATAAAGGCGAGGACGACAGCTGTACGCAGAGTGACATTAAGCGTTGTACACCGTGACGGTAGAATGCATACTCTAACTACAAAAAAACTACAAAAAATCTCCTGTCCCCCCACCTTTAAAGGTTTTACGATATTTAGGATCACACAAAAATGAAGAAAATATTTCTCATAATTAGAAAAATCGTATATAAAAACCAAAGT